GGCCAAGATTACAGATTTCTAGATCCAACTGATAATTGACAACTGTAAACCGTAGCACAGGCTATTTTTCAAAATTCGTCGTCCATGGGATTTGAACTCTAAACCTGCCACTTGGAGAGGGTAATGACTAGACCACTACACTAAGTCACCACACCTCTAAATAATAATTTTCTTTATTTAATATAAATTATATATTTATTTATAAATTAAACAAATAATTAATAATATTATTTTAATTTATTTTTTTATGAGATAGAAATGGCAGAAGAAAGACAACCTACTCCTGAACATATTAAAGAAAAATATAAAACACTACCTCCTACAGTTATTGAAAGTGAAGAGGATAAAGAAAAAAGACAACGAAATTAAAGAGCTGCTAAAAAAGATATTATAATAAACTAAAAAAACAAGCTGAAGAACAAAAACCTTCAACTAGAACAAAATCTAAAATTTCTCTAATATCATCAAGAACAAGATCACAAACAAGTTCAAAAGAAGATACTAGATTAAGGCAAAAAAGACATAGAGCTTCTATAGATACAAATAAAAAAGAAAAAATAAAAAAAAAGGATAGAGAAAATAAAAAAAAAGATATAAAGAAAAAAAAGAAGAAGAATTAAAACAATTTTTCAAAATAGAACTTTGTAGTTTAGATAAATATGAAAAGAAAATAAAGAAAAAAATGAACAATAGTAATAGTAATAGTAATGATAATAGTAATGATGATGATGATAATAAGGATGATAGAGGAGATAAAGATGATAATAAAAATAATAATAGTAATGAGATAATAATAAAGATGATGATGGAAATGATGATAGAGATAATGATAAAGATGATGATGAAGATAATGATAATGTAGATGATGATGATAGAGATAATGATAATGATAATAATAATGATGATGATAATGATGATGATGATGATGATGATGATGATAATGATGATAATGATGATAGAGATGATAATGATACTAGTGATAATAATGATGATAATAATATTAAAAGACATTGATTAGAAAAAATGAATATTATTTGTAAACATTGTTTTGCTTTAAAATAGAAAGAAGAAAAAAGAGGATTTTGTTGTTTAAATAGACAAATCCAATTAGCACAACTTAAACCACCACCACCAGTATTTGAAATTTTACTTACAGAAGAAGATCCAGAATCTAATAAACTTTTTATTTTTAAAATAATAACATATAATCAAATATTTGCTTTTATATCAATTGGTGGTGCAATATTAGATAAAAAAACTTGCCAATGCTAAAAAAGAAGTTTATACTTATAAAATTCAAAGACAACATTATTATCAACATGGTTCTTTAATGCCTAAAAAACTTAAAGAAAAAGAACCTAAACCAAAATTTGCTCAAATATATTTTTATGATAGTGATAATTTTGATAGCCAACTTAATAGAAGACATAAAATAATGAATAAAAATAAACCATTAAATAAGGATATATTAAGTGAACTTCAATTTGAATTGTTTAATAATAATCTATTTGTTCAAACATTTAGATATGCAAGAACTGAGGAAAAAAGATCAAATACA